GGCTTTCCCTCCTTCAAGTCAACCCCAACTTCCTTGGGGTTATATCGGTTTTGTTGCTTCTGAACCGTGATAGGAACTTAGATCTAAACATCATACATCTTTTTCTTTGCTAAAGAGTCACCAAAATCCAAACTAACGAAATGTATTTTCACTTCTATCCCATTGAGAAACAGTCCATATGTACGTACAAGCTTTCATCTAAAAAGGGTTGGAGGAAAAATTTAATTGGGGTCAACGGAGAGTGGCGAACTCCGCTCGATCTGACTTTCCCTATCCCAACTATTTTTGGAGAGTGTTCTGTCCCTCTGTATAAAAAAATATAAAAAACATCTAACTAATTGCCCTTGTGAAATTTGTCTTCCTTGTTTCTGCACTTTTCTTTGTTGTTACCTTCATATCAATCATGACGAATTGGTTTATAGCGTTTGTAGGGCTAGACTTGACCTTTTGGAGGAGAAAGTTCTGAATGACATCCCCTCTACCACTGACCTGCTCACCCCAGACTACTTTTCCGATCTATCCACCCTTGGAACTATAATAGAGAATATCCAAATTCCTTCCTTCAGTAGGATGAGGCGTTCTGCACCCACTCCTATAGCTGCACCAGCCATCATTATGGCTAGTTCAACTGCCCCAATTATGGCCAAGATCATTGAGCATCCGATCACTGGGCCTTCTGCATCCACTTCAGCTGAAGTTCAGCCTGTCATGCCAACCGATAAACCCTCTTATACCTTGATTGAGGCTTCCCCATATGTTGTTTAGAATGTTGAGGGATCTCCTCCCACCCGAGCTAGTGTTTCAGAAAAAAGACTGGGAAAAAAACCTATGCTAAAGGGTGGTTCTGATCAAAGTGACCTCCCTCCAGCCCAAAGGGCTTGGACTTCCTTCAAGGTCACCAATTCTATTCTCTCTCCTCAGCTATCCATTCCGGAAGGTGAATCGGCCAGAACTGCCAGCTCTTCACCAACAGTGACTCATTCGCGTCCCTTGCTTAGTCATGAGGATAGGTCAGTTATTGCCCCTACAGATTCTTTGTTCAAAGATCCAGTCACCTCTTTTACTTTCTACAAGGGCTTTTGGACCCCCAAAGACATTGAGCTTCAGAACAAAATGACCTTCAATGAAACGTACCAACGCTTCCCAGCAGCTGCTGTTGAGGTAATTATCTCTCTCCTTTTTACCTTTTGTTTTCCCGTTTTGATTATTTGACATTTGTACTTATCAGAACACCTGTGTCTTTGTGCAGACTCTATTTGGGATGTTCACCTTCCAGAAAAGTATTAAAACCATAAACAAAAACCTTAAAGCTCTCTCTGCTGGTCTCAATAGATCTGTTAAAGCTGAATAAGAAGCAGAGGCTAAAAGTACACAGCTGATGGTCAGGCTGAACAAATCAGAGAAAGAGATCGACACTCTGAGGGCTAAAAAGGATGCCCTAAAGAATGAGCGAGATTCTCTTCAGGATTAGATAGATGTCCTGAAGACTGAAAGGAATGTTATGTAGACTGAAAGGGATGCCTTGAGAGTTGAGAAGGGGGACCTTCAGTGCACTTTAGTTACTGAACGGTTAAACCATGCCAACTCGAGGAACAATTTTTGAACGAGCGCACCGCTTTGCTCAACGTCGTCGGCCAGGTTGATAGCGGTAGGAGAGCTTTTCATGCCCGTTTCACTAGGATCGGGGCTCTAAGATACGCTGAGGGGTATAGAGATGGTTTTATTGACCGATCTCCCCCTGAAGGTGAGTTTAGCTCCTGTGCAGGTCTGGACGAGCTTGATGCATCTCTGGACATTAACCCTCCGAACAACTACAAGGATCTACTCCCTGCTCCTACTGAAAATATTTTTATTGAGTGTTATTCGTCCTCTGAGTATCCCTCCTATTACCACCATTACTCCTCCAACCATTATTGCAACTGAAAGAATTTCATCAGCTGAGGAGGTCATTCACCTGGACTCTCCCTCTGGAGGCGAGAAGACGTTCAATGGTGGGGAAAGAGACAGCCAACCAGCTGGTAGAGACGGAACAACCAATGGTATCAGAACGGGCAATGGATTTGACATTGGGGAATAGAGTTCTACTAGCCTTCACATTTGTTTCTTTTCATTTTCATATCAATCTTTATGTATCAAGAACTCCTTTTATATGATGAATGAAAAAGTTATTTTATTTTGCGAAACACCCATTTCTCAATATTTTATTTTGCAACACATCCATTTCTCAACATGTACTTAAGTGCTTAGCGTTCGGCTCATAGTGCCACTTGCCACTTACTTCGCTATGTGATTGGCGCTCGGCTAGAATGCCACTTGCCATTTGACTTTTATTTCGTGTAAGTATTTGGCGTTCGGCTCATAGTGTCATTTACCACTTGTCACTTGGCTTTTATTTTGTGCAAGTATTTGGTGTTCGGCTCGTAGTGCCATTTGCTACTTACTTTTCTAAGTGCTTGGCGCTCGGCTAGAATGCCACTTGCCACTTGGCTTTTATTTTATGCAAGTATTTGGCATTTGGCTCGTAGTGCCATTTACCACTTACTTGGCTAAGTTTTTCTTTGCTCAATTAAAAGTCTTAAAACCGAATGAAATCTTTTTTATAAATATCGGAGAATACATACATTTGTAAAAGCGTAATTCTAAATGAACATTGTTCAGAATAGAACTCAATCTTTACTGGTAGTACCTTTTTAGAGATGTGGCATTCAATGGTTTGTTGACTAATCTCCCAGCCATGGTCTCTAAATTGTATGCCCCCTTTCTTATAGCCTCTGTAACTCTGTATGGACCTTCCCAGGGTGACATCATCTTCTTAACAATTCCCACCTTTTTTAGAACTAGATTGCTAGGCGCAAAGTCTCTATGCTTCACCTTTTTATTATAACTATTCATAATAGTTTGCTAGTATGACGTGAGCCTTACAACCACTGCATCTCTTATGAAAGTCAGGATTGAATCAATCCAGCTCGGCTCATATGGTAAGACATTTACTTGCCGAGGATCCGAGCTAGATGGTTTTTCAAAGATAGATGGCTGACACAACATATCAACTAGAATCACCTTTGCCAGTGTTTCTCCAAAACTTGATGCACTGCAAGCTAATCAATCGGCGTCCTCGTTACGTTCTCTTGGCAATTGGATGAACTCAATCTGATCAAAGCTTTTTGCTTCATGCATAACAGCAAAACGGTATGCTTCCATCGTCTCATCCTTGGTTCCGTATTCTCCAGTCACCTGGAATCACTAACAGCAACTAGACTTTTAACCTTCAGCTCTTTAGCCAGCTTCAGTCCAGCTAGCAATGCTTCATGTTCTGCCTCATTATTGGTTGCTTTGAACTCAAGTCTGATCATTTAACTCAGCGTGGTGCTTTTTAGTGTTTGCAATTTGATCCCAATTCCTGCCCCCATTTAATTTTACGAGCCATCAAAGAAGAGCTTCCATGAAGAACCACTGACATCTTCCTCTATGTCAGCAGGAAATACGCCACTGCTTGTCCTTTGATGGCTGTTCTGGGTTCATACATTATATCAAAAGAGCTAAACTCTATGGCCCACTATGTCATTCTTCCTGATAGATCTGGCTTATGCAGGATCACCTTTATAGGAAAGTGGTCAAAACGACGTGGGATGGGATTTGAAATAGTGCGTGAGTTTCCTCTTTGCATTCACCAATGAAAGGATCACTCGTTCGGCCTTTCAATACCTTTTTTCTGGGTCAGCCACTATTTTGGTAACATAGAATACTGAGAACTGCTTACCTTCTTCACATTGTATCAAAACGACACTTGTTGCAATACTGGACACGCTAACGTACATGAAGAGCTTTTCACTTAGTTTTAGGGTAGTTAAGACTAGAGGGTTCTGTATATACTCTTTCAACGTGGTTAATGCTTGTCGCTGCTCATCCCCCCATGATTGCCTTTCGTGGCTCCTTACCGTATCGAAGAATGGTTTGCAATGATCCGATAACTTAGAAATGAATCAACTCAAAGCTGTTATTCGTCTGGTGAGAGCTTGTACCTCTTTAACCGTGCTTGGTTCTGCATTTATGATCAGAGCTTTCGCTTGGGCTGGACTAACTCCAATTCCTCTGTTGTTGACCACATGGCCCAGAAATTGCCCAGAACCTACACCAAATGAGCATTTGGTCAGATTTAGCTCCATACCATACTTTCTCAACACCTTGAACACATCTTGCAAGTGTTGTAAATGATGGTCCTTCTTTTTACTCTTTAGCACCATGTCATCAATGTAAGCTTCCATAGTTTCACCCATTTGGCCTTTGAAAATCTTGCTAACCAGCCTTTGGTAGGTAGCCCCAGCATTTTTCAATCCGAACGACATGACCTTGTAACGATAGATCCCCCGTTCAGTGACAAAAGAAGTTTTTTCTTCATCGTTCAGATCCATAGGGATTTGATTGTAGCTTGAATAAGTATTGAGAAAGGTCAGCCATTCATATCCAGTACTGGCATCCACCATTTGATCTATCTTCAGTAATGGAAAACTATCATTCAGACAAGCTTTGTTCAGGTTCATGAAGTCTATGCATACTCTCCGTTTCCTATTCTTTTTTTATACCATAACCACATTTGAGAGCCAGAATGGGTACTAAACCTCTCCGATGAACCTTACTTCCAGCAGCCTATCAATTTCATCAGCTATGATTTGATTGCGCTCTAGGGTAAACCTCATTTGTGTCTACCTTACAGGTTTGACGTTCAGATCCACATTGAATGAATGACAAGATACCGATGGATCAATTCTTGGCATATCTGAATGGTTCCAAGCAAACACATCTATATTTTGAGATAGGAAATTAATCAACTGCTATTTCTCCCCCTTTGCAAGCCTTGACCCTACCCTTGTGGCTCTATCTGGCTTATGAGGGTCTATCTGTACATCAATGAGGGGCTCTTCGGTAAGAACCACAGGCTCATCCTACCCGAGAATCTTTTTAGGGGGAGGTCCCTATAATTGCTATCTTGGATTGTCAGATCAGGCTGGAGCTTTTCCCTTACCAACAGCTTTCATTATCACAGAGTAGCATTCCTTGGTTGTGAACTGATCCCCATGGATGTCAATCACCTTGTTCCCATCCGGCCTTAAGCATCTCATCACCTGATGCAGAGTCAATGGGACACTATGATACCCTTCGAGTCTAGAGCTACGGGTGATCGAGTCTGAGCACAGATCTGAGAGATACCAGATTATTAAGTATGTCAACAAGCAGGAATACAAAAAAATTAAGAATAAAATAATAAAGGCTGAAAAGAATACTAAATATTAAAATCCTCAAAAGTTAAAACTAATAAAATCCAAACTTTCCAATATCCGTACAACTCGGGAATCCATCTAGTGGACCCCTAATAAAACCCAATGGAAAGTAAAGTACAGAAACAAAATCCAAAACTAAAAGAATAAAAAGTAATCCTATATAGGCGAAGGAATGAGTGACTGTCTCTGCTCAGCACAAACAAGCTTTAAGACTGGAGCCGTTCGATACCTGAAAAATAATAGTGGGCCAAGCCCACAAACAAGTTCTATTCTAACTACAATCCAAACAGAGACCCAATACGCAGATACATCCTAAATATCTCAACAATAGCTATCTAGTCCATACATATATATATCCACACTAAGGGTCATTCACTGGACTACAAAGGGGGTCTCAACCTGAATACAAGCCAACATACAAAACGCACCTGAGTGGGCATGAGTACCTAAGCCTAACATGGTATACCTCAACCTATCATAGCTAGCTACACATCCACTGCATATATGCACCCTGACCATCGATTTTGAGACTCAAGCTCATATCGCGGTACCATAATTATACATATATAAATATAATCCATCCTAATATAGAACATTAAACAAAAAAAAAAAAAAAAAAAAAAAATTCCTGTATGTCATTCAACTGTTCTAGTTGACAGGACATGAAGATATGTAGGATTTAACTATTTTAGTTAATCCATTCCGTATGTATGAATAGGTAGGAATTAGCGTTTTGATCTAATCCATCCTTAATATGCCACCGTCCCATGCTGGTGCATATAATGCATATGATCCATAAATGATGCAACACTTAAAACAGTACATCAAATTAAATTCACATAATCCATATAGTTGATATGAACAGTATTTAATGGTTCATCAACCAAAATCCAGAATAACATCCCTGTAATTGATAGAACGGTATTTAATGGTTCATCAATTGATGTCCAGAATAACATCCATGTAATTGATAGAACAGTATTTAATGATTCATCAATTAAAATCTAGAATAAGCATAATAAAATCTAATAAGTATATGACCCTATTATGTATCCAATATAGATTTAATATCCAATTACAGTTCGTTAATTTGCTATAATAAAATTAAAGCAATTATATCCCTTATTCGTTAACAGCATGCAAGATTGTTTAAACCTTCCTTCTATTAAATCAATTAGCATGTAGATAAGAATTATGCGATCCAGAGTTTTAATACATCATGAAACAGTATTTAAAACGCTTAAAGTCAACCCAAAACAGTCCAGAAATCTAAAAAAAACAAACCTGTGCTTAAAAAAAAATATTCCAGAAAGTTACTATGCACAAGAGCTTGCTCTCAAAGTGAGAGAGCAAGCTCCCACACAAGGGAGCCGGCTCCCTAACCTTGGGAGTAGGCTCTGTGACCAAAGGAGCTGGCTCCCTAATTCTATGGAGCCGGCTCTCTCTCTCATAGAGGCCGTGGGCTGAAAAATAAAAAGGAGCCAGCTCTTTCCCCTTTGGAGCCGGCTCTTTCCCTGCTTCCTGTCATAGTCTTCATCTCTGATGACATTAAAAACCCTCTAAAATCTTTAGTTTAGGTTCCTAGAGGTCTGTCTATGTCCCAAAACTATCCCAGAAACTTTAAAACACAGTACGCATCATTACAAGATTCAAAAAAATATATGAAACAATTTATTCCACAATTAAATTTCAATTAATCAACACATAAAATACAGTTTAAAATCTGATTTAACATACATACATAATCAATTTTTAATGACCATTAAGTTCCTGGAGACTACCTAGGCATGCGCAGAACACAGGTCAAAGGAAAAGAGTAAGAAATACAATTTGCCTCTAATTTTAGTTTTGAAACCTTAACTTCATCTTCCTAATTTTTTTGGCAACCCGAGACTATTCTCAACTCCTTTATTGCTCCTGGTTCAACCCATAAGCAAACTTCCAAGACCCCTCCTTGGTTCAACCCTTGATCCTAGCCAAACCCTTGCTTTCCCTCTCTCTGTTTTTTTCTCTCAAACCTCACTATTCGTGAATTCTCTGTATACACATGAATATGGTTTTCTTAACCCTAGGCAGACTTATAATGACATATATATAGGCTTCTAACAAAACCTAATTCTAGTCATAAGAGGATACGGCATAGAAAACACAGAAATAACATATAAAATACATATACATATATAAGTCGGCAATTTTAATGAATGTATCTAAAACCCTAAAACTTTATTTTACATAAATAAAAATAATGATACTAATTTAAATATTAAAAATCATTAATAATTAATCTAACCCAATATACATATATACCCATAAATATATCCATGGGTAATAACTATACCCATTTACACTATCCAAATAGTTCGGTGTTCGTATCCAAGCCCAACTCCATTTAAAAATAAACATAATACATTTAATTTAAACAAATAAATCAATTTAACAATTAATTCAATTTAAACATACAATGTCAAATAAACAAATAAGTCAAGTTAAACAATTACACAAGTAACCAATTAAATCAAATACCACATAACCATATAATTTCACCGTAAAACAAATAAATCAATTTAAAGAATTAAATAATTGGACAAGTAAGCAAAGATTAATTTAAAATGAAATAAAATAATTAACTAAATACTGAGATTATCCTTTTTAAAATTATGGGTATTACATTCTTCCCCCCTAACAAAAGGAATTTCGTCATCGGAATTCGCTCTTACCTTCTTCCATTATTTCATGAAACTGCGAGCGAATAACATCCTCCCATTCCCAAGTAGACTCAGCCTCATTGGGGTGACTCCACTGAACACGCACGAAAAGGATAACCTTATTACGAAGAATTTAATCCCGATAGTTGATAATACGACACGATGGCTCCAAATATGTTGCATCCGTCTACAACTCAATCTCTCCAACATCGATATACTGATACCGATCCTCATCCCGCAGAAATTTTCACAACATGAAAACATGAAACATACTTTGCACACAATCCAAATTATCCGAAAGTGCTAATCGATAAGCTACAGTTCCAACGCAATCGGTAATAATGAATGAACCGACAAACCGTGGTGACAACTTCCCTTTCTTCCCAAAGTGCATTACTCATTTTATAGGAGACACTTTGAGTAGAACCTGATCCCCAACCTGAAACTCCAAAGCACGAGTACAACGATTGGCATAACTCTTCTGTCTACTCTAGGTAGTACGCATGCGGTCCCTTATATGAGCAATCTTTTCAAAAGTATCCTTAATGAATTCAGGACCCAAAACTTTGCTCTCACTAACCTCCATCCAACAAATAAGAGATCGACACGGTCAGCCGTATAATGCTTTAAATGGTACCATACCAATAGTCTTTTGGAAACTCTTATTATAGGCGAACTCCACAAGTGGCAAATAATTCCCCAGTGGCCCTTGAAATAAAAAACACACGAACGAAGCATATCCTCCATGATCTGATAAACCATCTCGGTCTGTCCATCAGTCTGAGGATGATAAACAGTGCTAAGATGCAACTCTGTACCCAAAGCCTACTGCAAACTCTTCTAAAAGCCTGACACAAAGCTCGAATCCCTGTCTGATATAACGAACAACGGAATGTCATGCAGCTTCACAATCTCTATAATGTAAAGTCTCGCCAACTGCTCCGATGTGAAGTCAGTGCAAATAGGCAAGAAATGAGCTGATTTAGTCAATCTATCTACGATGACCCAAATGGAATTGTGATCCTTAAAAGAATTAGGCAACCCCTCCACAAAATCCATAGAAATGCTCTCTCACTTCCACTCTCGTATAGGTAGTGGCTGTAGAGCTCCTGGCAGCCTTTGATGATCAATCTTGACCATTTGACAAGTATTACATTGAGAGACAAAAATAACAATGTCTTTCTTCATACCTGCCCACCAACACTGCCGTTTCATATCCTGATACATTTTGTCCCCTCCTAGATGAACAAAAAACTCAGAATGATGAGTCTCAATCATCACATCTTTCCTCAAATCATCAGCAGAAGGTACTACTAAATGCCCTTTGTACCTCAAACCTCCATCAGTCCCAACATAGTAAAATGAAACTTCCCCAAAAGCTATCTCTGTAATTTTGTCAATGCACTGCGGATCCATAAGTGCATTGTGCCTTCAAAACTTTGCGAATGATAGAACATGTAACTACTATGCAAGCCATAAAAGCATCAGACAACTCATCAACTGACTTTAAAACATTCCACTCAGTAGTAAATAAAGTAGAAAGACTCGTATAAGGGCAGCGACTGAGTGCATCTGCCACCCCATTTGATTTCCCTTAATAGTACTATATAGAAAAATGATAGTCTTTCACAAATTCTAACCATCTGTACTGTCTCATATTTAACTCCCGCTGAGTGAACAAATACTACAGACTCTTATGATCATTACATAATCGGAAGGACTCTCCTAACAGATAATGCCTTCAAATGCGTAAAGCAAAGACCATAGCTGCCAACTCCAAATCATGTGTCAGATAATTAAGCTCATGAGGCTTAAGCTTACGAGATCCATACGAAATTGGTCATTCCTCCTGCCTTATAACACACCCATAACCTTGCAAAGAAGCATCTATGTAGACAAGATACTCAATCCCGCTCTGTGGAGTAGACAAAACCGGTGCAGAAGTCAACTTACCCTTTAGCTTATCAAAAACTTTACGTGACCTAAAAACTTCACTTCCCACTGCCAAAATTCACACTTCCCAAATTTGGCATATAACTGGTGTTCACGAAGTGTCTACAACACTATACGAAGATGTCTAGCATGACCGTCCTCTGACTTAGAATAAATCAAAATATCATCAATGAAGACGATAACAAATTGATCTAAGTAAGCCCTGAATACTCTGTTTATTAAATCCATGAAGACTGCTGGTGCGTTAGTCAGTCCAAAAATCATGACACAAAACTTATAAGAACCATATCTAGTGAGAAACGTTATCTTAGGAACATCTTGCTCCCTAACCCGAAGTTGATGATATCCAAAACGCAGATCAATCTCAGAGAAGTACATAGCTCCCTTTAACTGATTAAAAAGATCATCAATCCTAGGCAAAGGGTACTTATTGCGAATAGTAAACTTGTTCAACTCCTTGTAATCTATACACAAGGTAAGTGAACTATCTTTCTTCTTCATAAACAGAACTGGTGCTCCCCAGGGTGAAGTACTCCTATGAATAAAACCTTGGTTGAGTAACTGTTGAATCTGATCCCTCAGCTTTCACATCTCCACTGGTGCCATCCTGTATGGTGCTCTAGTAATAGGCGTAGTGCTTGGAGCTAAGTCAATCACTAAGTCTATCTCTCGACTAGGTGGCAGATATACCATGTGGTCGATCACATACTTATGTCACCATTTAAACTATAAAACCAAAATTGTTGAATACTCTGTAGTGCAAAAACATAGAAAGCATACGAACTATTCTCAAATCTACTCACCTTCAGAATATCGCTCTTTCTTAAGAATTCATCATTTGAAATCAAACTTACAATATCAATTTTCACAAGTTTGTTTATAAACCTATTGATAAATGTCTCATATCCATATAACAAAGTTATAAGCAAAAAATTGTTTGCCTGACTAAATACCAACTACACCACTGTGATATTCCTTTAACATCGCAACATACATGTTCCAATATAGTTTAATAAAACCATTGATGTAAATATCTCAAAAATACTCTTATGAAACACATTTGAGATCCAAAACCACCAGTTCACTTTATTAAGAATTTCTTTAAACCATAAACTTCCAAAAGAATAACCAAAAAATGTTCTTGAACATACTTCTAGTGTACGTGATTAAATCCATACAACACTTTTACTTATACCTCCACTACTACCAGTAATAAAGATCACTCTTAAAAGAGCCATCCTCCTTGTGATTCGGTACCCTCCTGCTAGGACGGCCCAGTATCTCCTCGTCTAGGACACTACCTATAAGTGTGACCAAACTCGTCACAAGTATAGCATGTACCAATAAAAGTACTAAACGGCCTCCTCTGCTGGTTAGCCTGTGGCTGACCCCGTCCTACCTATGGTCCCCCATTCTGCTGTCTCTGAGCTAATCCAGGACGTTAGTTAGATGTATGCCCATAATCTCCGCAGGCAAAAAATGACCTTTAAACACATTCTGCACCACGGGTACTACTTCTAGTGTCTGCAGAGCGTGTAGTTGGTTCTAAAATGCAGTTACTATGCCTGCAGCTACAACCTGAGCTATGACGTAAACTAATTGAGGAGAATACTCTAGATTCCTGCCCTAATTGTAGGCCCGATCCTGAGACTCCTGAGTATGCTAAACTTCCTTATACTCTATCTATAACTGACCATATTCCTCGTGCTCCTCCTGAAACCTAGGCAGTTGTTACTCTTCCCTTATTTGCTGACGCTGTAGAAGATCTTGCTTCCTACGTGCTGCTTGCTTTCACTGCCTACGGTTCCATCTGGTTCTAGCGTTAACCATTCTGTTAACATAGAATGACAAACATCAACACAATTTTAAACGGACCGTAAAAGAATACAATGAATCCTAAACTTAAGCTCTAAACAAGAGATTACGTTACGCAAAAGTCTTAGTACGATATAACCCAAAAGACTCTTGAACCTGAAGTGCTCTGATACCAACTGTGATACCTCTCGATTCTAGAACCAGGGGTGATCAAGTCTGAGCACAGATCCGAGGGATACTAGACAATTAAGTATGTAAACAAGCAGGAATACAAAAAAGAATTAAGAATAAAATAATAAAGGCTGAAAAGAATACTAAATATTAAAATCCTCAAAAGTTAAAACTAATAAAATCCAAAATTTTCAATATCCGTATAACTCGGGAATCCATCTAGTGGACCCCTAATAAAACCCAATGGAAAGTAAAGTACAGAAACAAAATCCAAAACTAAAATAATAAAAAGTAATCCTACGTATGCGGAGGAATGAGTGACTGTCTCTACTCAGCACGAACAAGCACTAAGACTGAAACCGTCCGATACCTGAAAAATAATAGTGGGTCAGGCCCACAAACAAATTCTATTCTAGTTACAATCTAAACATAGACCCGTTACGTAGATACATCCTAGATATCTCAATAATAGCTATCTAGTCCATACATATATATATCTACACTAACGGACATTCACTAGACTACAAAGGGGGTCTCAACTTGAATAGAAGACAACATGCAAAACGCACCTCAGTGGGCATGAGTACCTAAGCCTAACAGGGTATACCACAACCTATCATAGCCAACTACGCATCAACTACATATACGCGCCCTAACCATTGACTCTGAGACTCAAGCTCATATCGCGGTACCATAATTTTATATATATAAATATAATCCATCCAAATACAGAAAATAAAAAAATAAAAAAACATCCAACATGTCATTCAACTGTTTTAGTTAACAGGACATGAAGATATGTAGGATTTAACTATTTTAGTTAATCCATTCCGTATGTATGAATAAGTAAGAATTAGCGTTTTGATCTAATCCATCCCTAATATGCCACCGTCCCATACCAATGCACATAATGCATATGATCCATAACTGAGGCAAGACTTAAAATAGTACATCAAATTAAATCCACATAATCCATATAATTGATAGAAACAGAATTTAATGGTTCATCAACCAAAATCCAGAATAACATCCCTATAATTGATAGAACGGTATTTAATGGTTCATCAATTAAAGTCCATAATAACATCCATGTATTTGATAGAACAGTATTTAATGGTTCATCAATTAAATCCAAAATAAGTATAATAAAATCTAATAAGTATATGACCCTATTATACATCCAATACAAAATTAAAAATCCTATAACAGTCTGTTAAATTGCTAGAATAAAATTAAAGCAATTATATCCCTTATCCGTTAACAGCATGTAAGATTGTTTAAAACTTCCTACTATTAAATCCATTAGCATATAGATAAGAATTATGTGATATGGAGTTTTAATACATTATGAAACAGTGTTTAGAACCCCTAATGTCAACCTAAAACAGCCCAGAAATCTAAAAAAAACAAAGCTGTGCTTAAAAAAATATATTCCAGAAAGTTACTATGCACGAGAGCTTTCTCTCAAAGTGAAAGAGCAAGCTCCCACACAAGGGAGCCGGCTCCCTAACCTTGGGAGCTGGCACTGTGACCAAGGGAGCTGGCTCCCCAATTCTATGGAGCCGGCTTTCTCTCTCGCAGAGGCCATGGGCTGAAAAATAAAAAGGAGTTGGCTCTTTCCTTTTTGGAGCCGGCTCTGCCCCTACTCCTGTCATTATCTTTGTCTCCGATGACATTAAAAACCCTCTAAAATCTTTAGTTTAGGTTTCCAGTTGTCCATCTATATCCCAAAAGTATCCCAGAAACTTTAAAACATAGTACGCATCATTACAAGATTCAAAACAATATATGAAACAATTTATTCCACAATTAAATTTCAATTAATCAACACATAAAATATAGTTTAAAATCTGATGTAACATGCATACATAATCAATTTTTAATGACCATTAAGTTCCTGGAGACTACTTAGGCATGTAGAGAACACAGGTCAAAGGAAAAGAACAAAAAATAGAAGTTGCCTTTGATTTCCGTTTTGAAACCTTAACGTCGTCTTCCTAAATTTTCCGACAACCTGAGACTGTTCTCAACTCCTTTATTGCTCCTGGTTCAACCCACAAGCAAACTTCCAAGACCCCTCCTTGGTTCAACCCTTGATCCTAGCCAAACCCTTACTTTCCCTCTCTTTGTTTTTTTCTCTCAAACCTCACTGTTCGTGAATTCTCTATATACACATGAATATGGTTTTCTTAACCCTAGGCAGACTTTTAATGACATATATATAGGCTTCTAGCAAAACCTAATTATAGTCATAAGAGGAGATGGCATAGAAAACATAGAAATAACATAAAAAATACATATATATATATAACTCGGCAATTTTGATGAATATATCTAAAACCCTAAAACTTTATTTTACATAAATAAAAATAATGATAATAATTTAAATATTAACAATTATTAATAATTAATCTAACCCAATATACATATATACCCATAAATACATATATATTTATCCATGAGTAATAATTGTACCCATTTACACTATCCAAATAGTCTGAGGTTCGTATCCAAGCCCAACTCCATTTAAAAATAAACATAATACATTTAATTTAAACAAATAAATCAATTTAACAATTAATTCAATTTAAACATACAATGTCAAATAAACAAATAAGTCAAGTTAAACAATTACACAAGTAACCAATTGAAACAAATACCACATAACCATATAATTTCATCGTAAAACAAATAAATCAATTTAAACAATTAGACAATTAAGCAAAAATTAATTTAAAATGAAATAAAACAATTGACTAAATACAGAGATTATCCTTTTTAAAATTAGGGGTATTATAGACACCTTGGACCTTGTGAATCCATCCTCTTCCTATCAAGAGCTCGTAAGACGAATGGATCTCAACGACCACAAAGCTCTCTGTCAGAACTCTCTCAGTAGCTTGTACTGGCAATTCTACCATACCGATAGGCTCTACCCGTTTCCCATCGAACCCCAACAGTGGATTTTCGGTGGTTTTGAGCTTTTCTGGCTTGATCTCGAGCCAGTCAAACGTTATTCTTGGCATGACATTCGCACTGCTCCCTGGATCAATCAGAACTCTTTGCACTAGGCACTCTGCCATTGTCAAACTAACAACCAGAGGATCTTCATGAGGGATCTGTACACGCAGTAGATCCGTTCTGGTGAACTTTATCTGAACTGATGTGCTCTGCTGGTGCAGAGCGTTTACGCTGCCTATCCTTCTCTTCATCTGTGCTTGTCGAAGGCGTGTTTGAAGTAGTTCTTCTTACTCTTCGATATGCTCAAGTCGACCATGAATTGCATTTATTATCTGAAACAGGCTGAGCGTTATGGTAGCTCAGCTTTTGATTTCTCTTCACTTACTCTGCCGGGCGATTCTGCTCCACCGTTGGCCCTTGAATATATCCTGCAAACTCTCCCTTTGCTCTCAACATCTCCACTTACCTCCTTAAGTTCCTGCATTCATTAGTCTAATGACCAAAATCACTATGGAAAGCACAATGTTTAAACTGATCTCTCTATTCGAAAAGTTGTCTAATTGGTAGGGGAGAGCGAAACTTATCTTTGTTCTCCTGATATAACCTTGCCAGACTGACTTTGAATAGAGTGACCGATTCCTCCTCTTTAGGCCTCTTCTCTGCTTTCCAGGAGGTTTGATGATGTGGTAGAGCTTGTTTTTGCCAGATCTTGGTTTTGGACTTCTCCTCCGTCGAGATTATTGACGTCTTCCTTGCATTAGCTGTTTCTTCTTCTTCCAAGCGTACGAAACCATAAGCTCTTTCGTTTAGCTCATCTATGGTCTTCGGCGTATTTACCACCAGACTTGTATGGAATGGTGTCCCTCCGTTCATTGCTAGTTTGAATGCTTGAACCGCCATGGATGGATGACATTCTATTACCATGCTCTTGACGAGGTTGAACCTGGTGAGGAAAGCTTGGAGATGCTCTTCTTCGTGCTACTTCATTATGAACAAACTTGAAATATCTTTGGCTGGGCACTTATTCCTATAATACTGGCTTATGAATTTATCACACAGATCCTGGAAGCTACCGACTAAGCCTTTTGCCAAATTCTTGAACTAGTTGAGCGCCGGTCCGGTCAGGCTTATAAGAAAGCACTTGCACATCAAAAGATCATTCTCCGTATTAAAAGCCATTTTCAACTAAATATGGTAAACGTGATTGATCGGATCACTCGTTCCATCAAACAGAATGAAAACTGGCATGGAAAACTTTCTCGGATTTAGAGCGTTCAGGATCTCATCAGTAAATGGTGATTCAACCGTTCGTGTTGCCAAACGGAGGGCTTCATTCTCCCTTGGATACTTTGAGAATATCTTTTGGTCAGTAGAGCCCCTGTCCAAACTTCCATAGTCATATGTGGCCATTGACAGTCAATAAGGAGGATCATAAGACTGCTCATCCGTTAACTCCCTCTGTCATGACGGTGTGGCCCTATTGCGACCAAACTCCACGGCTTCTTCTCATCTAAACTCCTCACGTTATGGATCGATCTCCATGAACTCTTTTCTTCTAATCCATTTGCGATGTGGATCCAAATGGATGGATCCTTCCCAATCTTCCATACGATAAACATTTGACGGAACATCATCAGGCCTGATCTCTTCACAACAGATATTCAGATGTATATTCCCTTCCTATTCAACCCAGTGCGCAACATTTTTTTGCACAACTCTTTCACCTACTGGAGGCGGCTGTGGTATTACCGGAACTTCTTAATGCTCCATTCCAGCTCTAAATTCTGTTTTCTCTCTTCTCAGAGCTTCGATTATGGTAATCAATTCATCAAGCTTTATCTGCTGATCATTCTCTTGTAGATTAGAACTCTTACCTCTTATCATCGTTCCTGATCGGAGCAGAGTCATCAAACAGAAACTCTTGACCAGATCTAAACCCTAACTACTTGAATACACCGGATTTGGCCTCGGAACGGCCGAATTCCGATCTTTGTTAGCTAAATCTAAACTTTTGCTGTTGTAAACTCATTGGATCTGGTTTTTGTCAATCAAAATCAAATTTCCTCAAAACAAATCTCAATTTTCCAGATCCAGATTCCATTTCCAGAAATCTAGCTTCTGCCTCACAAATCAATTTGAATCTTTCGTAAGAGCGATCAATTCACTTGCAAAAACTCGATGGTCAACTGAATCCTCTCTCAGATTCCCACGGACGGCGCCATTGAAGATGTAGGAAAAATGCTCTCTCAATTTGGAAAGAATAATTCTACACTTCAAAAATATATCGATCCTTTTTCCCTCTCTTTTCTATCTATTTATAGACGGTTACAACCATTCTTAAACCTTTCTAACTCATTTTCTTGCGATGCGCTGGCCTTGTCAGCTTACCTTCATTTTGGGCCCATTTCCTTTTATCTTAATTCGGGCTTCCGAACTGATCCTCCGGTCCTAGGCCTGCTCAGTTGTAATGACCCGGTCATTTTCTTCATTTTCCCTTTTTCTTCAAATTTTATGGATAAATTTTTTTTTCATTATCTTTTCCTTTTCGGGTTCGATTTCCCGCCTCTTAGTGTCATCTCAAGTGCTCGGAAATGGTTTCTGAGACTCTTTCCTTTGGATTGACAACTTCCTTTGAGGATCGAGTCATTTCCACATTTTTTTGTTTTTTGACACTATTCATTTTTCGTCTTTTCCTTATTTCGTCCTCTTCTCGTTTTTCACTTTTACTTGCATAACCTCATTTTTTGGGCTCGGATTTGATTCCGGTTTTGCATACGTTCATGATATTTAAATTCCATGATATCTACATTTTTACTTTTGTAGAAATGCATATTAAATGCTTACTTTCTTTGTAAAAGCCATGAAAACAAGACTTTTTGCAATTATCCATAACTTGAGGGGTTTTTGGGTAATTAAGTAAAGTAATTATTTTTCGTCTTAGGGACCATTTTGCAATTAAATTTGGAAGATATTTTTAAAAAGGACCTTTTTGCAATTTTTAAAAAGTGTGACAAGTGTCACACTCTCATTGGTCCACTTGTTGACATTTGTGTGGAAACACTTTAATGCATTGGATGATGACATTTGGAGGGTGAGGATTCACTCACTTGTTGTCCTAAGATTGGTGCACTTGTTGGCATGGATGGTTGACAAGTGTAGGGTTAATATTTAATCTTGGAAGCTTACTTGGATTCATGACAAGTGTAGGACTCACATTTAGTCTTGCATTAGTGTGTGTGTGAGAGGTAGTGCAAGAGCACCTAGTGAGTGGAGAAGCCCACCAATTTAGCTTAGGGTTTACACATTTTAATTCATTCATCACTTTCCTCTCAAGAACCCTAAGGAAGCCACCATTGGAGAAAAGCTTGACTAGTAGCTTTGACTTCATTTTTGGTGCCCTTTCACTCACCTTAGAACTTTGAACTTGTAATACTTTTTGTTCCCCTCATCCTCCTCTTCAAAACCCTTGAAGGATCTAGCCTAACTCCTAGTTTTGCTTTGGTATCTAGAGATTCAATTCTCTAATGAGGTATTGATCTATTATTTTGAAGTATTTTTATGTCATTATTGAGTGTTTTATATGCATGGAAGAAAAGGACTTGTATTTTTCCCTTAACCTATTTTAACTTGAAATTAATCTTGTCAAATTAAATATAAAATATGAAAATGTACTCAATTATCTTTCATTTAGTTTTGGTTTCATGTAATTTGGATTTAAAATGAATTAGTTATGAATTTTTGAAGTTGCAAGCTAGTTGCTAGAAATTTGAAGCTTTTCCTTTTCAGTCCGGAAATGAATTTTTTATATGGAGCTGTGTTACTTCAATTGCCTTGAAATTTTTATTGGAACTTCCCCCATAGGTTTTACACTACTCAGAATTTTTTTACGATTTTAGAGCATTTCTAAATTTTTTTAAAAATCTGAAACTATCTGCTGTCCATGTTTTTATTGCAGCTGGAAAACATATTTTTAGATGATTTATTTCACTAACCTTTTAACATTGGATCATGGCTTAAATTTCCAGTTTTACACTCTCATATGTTTACTTCCAAAATAAATTAGGTTTGCCCAATTTGGATATCAAATGAAATTTTCATGAATTTTCAAAGTTGGAAGCTATAGGCTGAAAATGTGTTTTCTGGGCAGAAATTGTTCCAAAGTTATGGGGAAAAACTGTTTCAATTGGGAAAATATTTTGTTAAACTAAATTGATATTATCAAATTACAGTGTTTAAGCTTTCATTGGGCTTTGGATTCATTCAATTTGGGTTAGAATTGAATTTTTTTATGAATTTTACAAGTTGAAGGTAGCAAGCTGAAAAATCTGTTTTGCGGACCGAAAATTTGGGGCGATTTCATTTCGGTGGTAATTGGGATTTTCATTCCAATTGAGGTAGGGAATGTTTTAGGATTATTTGTGTGTTGTATTGTGTGTTTGCCATGATTATACAACATATATGTATGCCTTGTATCAAATCTAGAAAGTTAGTAATTTTTATTTCTTTGTATAAGATTTAAAATTTATGATGATGTATAACTTTAATTTGAATTGTAACATGCCAGGAAATTATGCTTAGATATGTTGGTTAACATATATTAAATTTGGATCATTTGATTAAGAATTACAACTTTTATTTAATATTTATCTTTAGTGAAAGTTTAATTCACATGGTTGTATCAAACATTAAATCAAGTTGTAATGTGGTATTTAAATAGGCCTTGTCATGTTCTCTAACATAGATTAAATTGAGGGCATTTGGAATTATTTAAAAATCTAGAGAAAATTAATTAATTAGCTTGATTAATTTTGTTTTAAGTGTTTTAATCACTTAACTTGTCATTTGATGTTATATATATGATGACCATGACATGTCTTTCAATATATATTAAATTGAGGTTATTTGGATTAACTTGGAATTTAGAGAATTTAACTATTTATGTTTAATTAAATTCTACTTTATTACTCCATGGATTTAATTGCATTTTGGAAGTTGTTTCTATATTTAAATCATGGATTTGGATTTGATGTATGTTCACTTGATTACTTTTGAGCATTGGATAACATAGTTGTTACTTTTATATTCATGAGAATATGTTTTTCCTTATTGAATATATTGTTGCTATGTATAAGGAATTGCACACTTTGTATTTGACATCTTACATGCCAGAGTAGTTGTGAATTTTGAGCATGTATTGTATAAGTTTCCAAAATTTGGATTGTGCTTGGTAAATAGTTGATATCTTGTATAT